AATTGTAACTGACATGGTCACAGCTGTATTTTCTCAGGTAGGATTATAAGAGTATGTTTTATGTGCTGGTGGTTTGTGTGACACCTGTTTTCCCCTGTGGAGGAAGACAGGACACATTACAATGGAGTGAAGCTCAGGAAACCAAGGTTCAAGTTGGATGCCAGGAAGTACTTCCTGACAGTTAGGGCCCCTAGGGTATGGAATGGGCTTCCGTGTGGGAGGTGGTTGAAGCCCCATTGGCAAGGGTGTTCAAGGATAGGCTGGGCATGCACATGGTGGGCATGTCATGAGCAGAGCTGGCTGGAGCTGGGGGTCAGACTAGATGGCCTGGGAGGCTGCTTCTGACTTGCTGTTTCTATGTTTCTATATATGCTGGGCACTCTGGATATCTTGTCTGAGTGTAACATTCTCTGTTAACAGAAGAAGGGAGAAAGGAAAGGAGAGAAGCAAGACTTATACAAAAAAAATTGGATATATTTAGGTCAATAAATACATGACAGTATTCATTATCCTTTTTTCTTTCTCTGGAAACTTAGGAGACTGACTCAGATAGAACTGCTACTTCTGGCAAGCGGAGTTGGATTGTTGCAGAGAAGCTGTTTGAAAATGCATCATTTTACCCCTGTGAAATACTGCCTCCCAAAAAAATGTGGGCAAAAGACCATGTGTCAGAATAAAACCATTTATTGTTCAGTGTACTAGCATGCTAGGATTGTAAATGCAGCCTTATGGAAAGTTAATATGGCCATCTGTATCGCCTGCCAAATTACTAGTGATTACTAGAAAGTCTTGCAGCCACAGTTATGCTCAAGTTCAGGGGAAGGAAAAATGAAGCACAGTAGAGGCAATGAAAAGGGATTTCTTGAGACAATTCAGTGTTGGTCTGAATCATTTACCTAGCTGAATGAAAATTCTCCAAAGCAACCAGAAACTGAGCAACAAAAAAAATGGTAACAAAAGAAGAAAATACCGAAATTGGCAAGGCATGGCTCCCAGCCAGCTCCTACCGAGCTGCCTCTCCCTTCCTCACCCCCCCACCCCAGTGGCACTGGTGCACCCCCTGTGAATGCGATGCCAATGGAGGAAGAGGTGGTGGACCACAGCCAGTCCTCATGCTGGTCCGTGGAGTGTGGGATGCACTGTCCTCCACGGACCTGCAGGAAATCTCCCACAGACTGCCATTGGACTGCAGACCAGTGGTTGAAAACAGTCAAGAGTGGTTGCAACCCAGAAAAGCCCTTGAAATGCGAACTGAGCCAGGGCACATCTGCAGTCTTATTGTGCTCAGTATGAATTACTGTGCCAAATGAGAATTGATGCTGTATCCTTGCCACCATGCAAGGAGGGAAGCATGGAGGTTTGGCCTGTGCTACTGTGCTGGGTTTTGTGCATGGAATAGTAGCCTTGCCTATACTTGAGAAATTTTAAATCATTCTATGAAGCCTGTCCAATTGCATCAGAGTGGCAAAGGCCTGGATTATGTGAGTTGACCATGTGTAGTTAGAATAATAATAGAAATGTGCCTTGCCTTTGTATCCATGTTAGAGGAAGTAGTAGATTGACATGAATTTGGAGGAGCCAGTATCATTTTCCAAAAAAGCGAGATCTCTATATTAAAAATACCAATAGTAGAACATAATTGAAATCCAGGGTACTGAATCTTTAAGTTTCCCATAAGCATGGAACCTTTTAACCAGTTGTGGCAGTGTGTGCATGTATCCAGTGGAGGGAAACTTAACATTGCTGCCTGGATTTCTTTAGCAATCTGGAGGAGACACAGACCTTCATGAATTAAAAAGTGAAATACAGTGCTGCAGAGGAGAGTTACAAGGCATTTGGGCTGATGGTCTAACTTGTTCAGAAAGAGGTTGTGCTGTTTGTCTACAGAGCTACTTTTATCTGAGCAATTTGGGTCACAGGCTTATTTCTTCAACTATTAAGCAAACTCTGGTCCTGATGTTTGATGGAGGCAGGCTTTCAATATTTTTGCTCCTTCTGTGTCAGAATCCTCAGCAAGCCATCACATCTGTCTTTCTCATTCATTTTTCATTTTCTGGTCATCTGTATTTGTGAAGAAAACCAAATTAGATCTCCAAAATCAGATCTCCAGCAGGGCTATGCAATGTGGTGTAAATGGAGGCATTTTTAGTTTGAAACTTTCTAACAATCCCTTATTTTGTGTTGGTAAGTTTCACACAGCTTCTGCAGTGCAGTCATTGCTTTTCTTTTTCATAATGTGGAATAGCTGCCTCAAGTGTAAAGATAATGTGTGTATACCTTCCTCCACAATTTCACATGTGGTTTAACCATGTATGTCTATCCAAAGTACAATGCAGGGATTAGACTTCTAAAATGGGTTAAAGATCTTGGATTATGCTTTCCATAGGTGAATTATTCCACAACTTGGACTCAGCTTGTTTTTATGGACACTTTTCTGCCAATGCACTCATATGCTTGATCCTCAGAAAATCAACTGCATTCCACTTAATTTAATCAAACATTTTAATGTTTCTGCATCAGCTGCTATGGACTTCCTTTTGACCTTCCTCTAAACTGTATGACATGTTTTTCCTTTCCCTTGGTTACCAAATGTAAGTTGATCAGCTCACTTATAAGCCTGACTTACTTAGCATCGATTTTCTCCAACACATTTTCAAGTTCATCTGGTTTTACCCTTTGCAAAGTGTTCTATTATGTCTCATGAAATACCCTGAAGGAAGGAAATCAGATGGACAGTAATCTTTCAAATCAAACCTGCCTCTGGGAATTTCCATATTGTAACCAGGCTTCTTCAAACAGTCTATGTTCATCTGATGAACATTCATAGGATATAACTGAAACATATGAAGTCTTAACTATTAAGAGTTTCAAGTATGCTTTTGCAACATAGTATTTGAAAGAAAGCAGAAAATAAATGGGGCAATGCTATGTTGAGGATGTGAGAAGCAAATGAGGTTCCTGGGCTGCTTTCATGATGAATGAAGGAAAACAAGGCTGGAAGGTCATGGAAGCTCTTCAAAGCATGATGTGAAAGACAGAAGAGGAAAAGAGAAGAAAAACAGCAGGAAAGTTGGCAGGTCAAAGGAGCATTGATCTGGACAGAAAGAAAAACTCTAGACTCCTGATCAGTGTTTCTTGCTGCGGGCTACAATTAGACAAACTAAACGGTGTGGTACTAATGCTTCTCTGGGGCTACTAATGAGCAAAGGAGGCCTCCAGACTATATGTTGGTATATGTGAGTTTGGCTGAACAGAAATGGCACATAGTTAGTACTAGTCTGTAACAATGGAAGAAAACACTTGCCATATTCAGTTATCATAGTGGTAGTTACTGTGGCATTCCCTGTGACTTTGAACTGGAAAGCATGGCAACCTTTATGATGGCGCATTGGTGCTTTATGATGCGGTAAGGTAACATGAACTGCCACAACAGCATCTCTCTCCATAATACTTCCAAAATGTGACTACATGCACCATCACACACAGATTGACAACATCTGAAGATGAATCGCCATACATTTTTTCTAGTTTCACATGTATTTGAGTTTAATTTATTGAAGACATGACAAATCACACTTCCCCCCAACAATAACAAAAGAACTTCTAGACCCAAACACTGCAGCAACTGTAACTTTCCACAACTGTTGTTGGCTGCATTCTCAAGTCCTAACAGTGGGAAAAACCAAGCATCTATAGTGTGCATGGGTGTGTAGGCATACACCTCCACACAACTGTGTGTGTCAATGTATGTTTTATGTCAATATAAAACATGCATACACATGTATACAAAAATTAAATACATTATCGCTTCTTTGTTGCCAAGGCAATAATCTTTTCTAAAGAGACACTTCTTTCGCTCTTCATTCATTCATTCATGCAGAAGTTACCATCACTCTTAATAATGATCAACCACCATGAATAGTACAGTTGGCTAAAAGTGAGGTGATCCCAATGGACAACTGTTTGAAGTCACAGTAACTGAGAATTCTGTTGGAACCTTGGCCACCATTTTGAGTTGCTTCCTTGAAAAAAAATCCTCTAACAATAAGCATAGAGAGAAGAGCCTTTGAGCAAAACTTGTGGCCAACCCCACCCCCCTGCTTTTTTTTTTTGGTGGAACTGTTTGAATGTTTTCTTCTGCCCGATTTTTGGACAAAGTGGTGGCTTGACTTGATTGTGGCAAGTATTTTGCAAGGCATCAGGGCTACTGCAAAGTCCCCGGGCCGACCACGCACGTCAAGTGGCAGGAGTACCACAGGTTTCGCAACTACACTATTGGATGCCCGTGTGGGCCTTATGCTAGCTTGCGTGATTTTAATAAGTTGACATTCTTCGACTATGGGACACAAGTGAAGGTCTTAAAAGCAAGTATCCACCACGGTAGTGTTAAACAGAAATATCTCCCATGGTAAAGTAAAATATAGTATAAAGCATAATAGCAAGCGGTGAATGCACTATAGCCCCCTCAAATTTGTCTGGGGACTAAGGCGGTGTGCTGTCACTATCAAGGGGGGGAAAAAAACTTCTCTAGTGGTTTAGCTCTCTTCCTCATATATATGGCTGTTGTCACAGATCTTGTACTGCATACTGGCAGTTGCAGCATGCTTTGCTAGCCTACTATTGGAGCATGAATGATATAGTTAGTGTTCAGTGAACCAATCAGGGACTAGTTTGCTACAAGATATGTCTACAGTTTATGCCAAACAATGAAACTAGGCAGCCTGTATAATCTTGGGGTTTCCTCTGTAAGTTTACAAATATACAATTTAAAAAAAAGTTCCCAAAAAAGGATAGACGTTCCCATGGCTGAAAGTTGTATACACACACAATTAAAGTGTCTTGTTTAAAATTCTGAATTGTTTTGGCATCTTAATAAAGTACAATATATTACAACTAAACCAAAAAGAAGAAGATAGAACCAGCTGTTGACTCATGTAGTCTCATCCTTGCCCCCCGCCCCCTCCCTTCCCTAGAGAGACACAGAGAGAAAAGAAATCCTCCCCATCCAATAACTCAATTTGTATTATTAGGAAGCTAACCAATAGGAAGCAACACAACAAGCGTGTGGTGTCAAATGGAGCTGACGAATCCTGCGCTTTGTATTAACAAGAACACCCTCCTTCACTGGCTGGTGGTTCCTGTGGTTTGTCCAGTTTAATGTCAATCACTGAATACAAGAATTAAGGGAGATAACAATCAAAGGAAGAGCATCTTGCTTATACGGTGGGTTTATCGCATTCTGGGGAGTAACATGTCCATAAAATGTATCAATAGTACAGGAGTAGGCCATCTGGTGCCCTCCAAATATTTTGGACTGTGAATCCAATACTCCGTGCCCATTGTCCATGGGACTCGGAGTCCAAAGCAGGCAGTCTACTGATACTATTGGTCAGGAAATCTTGCAGGCACGTCACTGCTGAAGTTCAAGGCATCAGTAGCATAGCAAGAGGCCATGCCCTGCATTCACAGCTATACAAGTATATCCTAAAGGTAATTTGGTCAAATTATTTATCAAATGCTAGCAGTGTTATAAAACATGCTTGTAAAGAAGCCCAGGGGCTTTGCTAGCACATTTGAGCGTGCACAGAGATGCTGAAAACCTTAGTGTTGTTCTGTCATCACCTAACATCCTTAAGAAAGCCACTTACTGTCACCCAGTTCCCAATTCTTCAGAGTGGCTCCTACATGATACAGTTGGGAAGTGACTTTATGGTCAGGGGTTATGCCTGGATTTATTGAATCAGTGGTAGAGATTAGCTGCACTCCCATTGTAACAAGCAAGATCTAACTGGAACCTCATGATGCATCTGTTTCTTCCCCACCTGTTTCAGCTTTGTGCTAGCATCTCACTCATGGCAAGTAGACAGACAATGTGTTTCCGCTAAATGCAAATAATTTCCAAAGGAGGGGCTGTGTGGAAGCACTTAATGAAATTAGCAGTAACTTAGAAGGTGTCGAAGCATCTAACACAACCAAGCCATCTGGAGGGCTCTGTACAGAGACCATTATGCCATCATAGAGGCACAGAAAGGCCTACAGTCTTGCCTCCCAGAGCAGAGCATGTAGCTTAAGGACTCAAGGGACATTTCTTTCTCAACCAGTGGCAGGCTGGTCTCTCCTACTGGGCACAGCTAGTGCAAAGCCCAAGCTGTGCTCTCTGTGTGTGACGCTGACATGTGCAAATTATATCACACTCAGCCCAGCCCCCCCGAGAGAGCTGCCTTTTCCCAGCTTAAAAGGCAGCAGTTAGACCAGGAGTGCTGCTGTCAGACACAGCCAGGCACCCACTCTCTCCCGCCACAGTGATTCCCAGGCGCCGTGTCCTCACTGTCCCCACTCGGCCGGGCAGGCACATGCTGCCACCACCGCATGTCACCTCTGGGACAATTGGGACGCAATAAAAGCAGGCTCAAGAGTCGTGTCATTGCCAGCTCCACCCCCACCCCCCCCCTTCTTGCCATAGAGGAGAGAATTAGTTTGGCAATCGGCTTGCGGAAAGACCTGTGAGGGGTGGCAGGCCTGTCCTTGTACAAGCCTTGTGTCCTTCCCCAGGTTTCCCTCAAGTTCTGCCACTTTCTGAGGTGCTAGGCCCTTGGAGTGCATTGGAAAACTAAGTGGTAACTGGGGAGTTCCAGTACCTCAAAAACTCTGAGAAGCTTGCTGGGAAGGGGGAAAAATCAAAGGAGTGTTTTTTATAGCTTTTTTGGGGGTGGTCTTTATACACCTGCACTGTAAACCCTTGGAAAAATGAAGTTAGCCCAGGTTTATACAGTCAAGAGTATATGGCAAATGTCAACTTAATAGCCCACTACTATGTAACTATGTTTTTTCCGCATTCCTTTTTCAAAAGGTGGCCTGTTTGGAAAGCACCCTTGCAACAGGGCTGCCCTCATTTTGGTCCTCCTACAGGGTTCCCTGGGATACTTGAGAAGTGGGAGAGGAGGAGATGGCATATAGTCTGTTGTGTCTGTCTGTCGAGTGCAGAGGAATTTTAGCCACAGTGGTGGGTTGGTTCATGTGTTGTGTGAACCCAATCAGAAGCTTGAACCATATGTACAAACTTGTTTATTTGTTGTACAAAAACAGGCCTGGGAGGTAGGTTATTTATAAAAGGGAAGTTACTTGACCTCAGAAGTTATAGAAAATATCCAAGTCTGTGAGTTTCTGAATGTAGCAAAAATGGAAGGAACATGAAATTAGCCTTGATTAGGTTTGCCTTCACAATGAGTGCTGTTGAGAAGTTTGATCTGTTGCCATCACAGCTGCTAGGAGTATGAATCGAAGAAACTAGAACCCAGGACAGGGGCATTGCGCAGTGTATTACACCTAAAAGAAGGTATTTTGGGGCTCTCCTGGAATGAAGTGTGTGTCATCACTTGCCCTCTGCTTTCCAGAGTGCACACTGGGCACTCTGATGAAGGCCATTTCTAAATCTCTCTGTTCCCTGTGAAGAAAGGGACAGCTTTGTGGACCTCCTGCATAACCTAAGCAAAGGGAGGCCAAGTGACTTGGCTGTCAGAGTGTGGCAAATATTTCTAGTGAGGCCATTCTTCTCCATTTCCTGCCTGCCTCACAGACAGAGAAAAGTCATTACTGCTGTGTTTAATTAAAAAAACCATGAATTCCTCTGTAATAAATAACATTTAATTGGACTATATTCATTAGTACTGCTCTATGCTGTTGCTTTCCCTTTGTGTGCTCATTCCATAATGGGAGAAAAGGGGTTCTGGGTTCAATTTAACAAGAGCATTTGTGCTTCTCAAGAACTCAGAATGGGAAGGGAATGGCTGGCGGGGGCTCACACTTGCCCTCAGACATTCTTGCAGAGCAAGGAATCACTGAGGCACAAAATGCATTAACAAAGCATAATCCATTCCTTTCCCAGCAGGAAAGTGCAAATGATACGATCTGAAGCACTTTCTATGCATCAGTGATTTTAGCTTTTCTGGAGACATGCAACTCCCCAAAGATTTGATGCCAGGACAGAATCGCCCTATAGGCTCTCTGTGACCCCTTAAAAAACAGGCACTTTCTCAAGTCCATGCAAAAAGGAGCTGAACAGGAACTCTTGAGGTTAATCAAAGGCTCATTATGGATTGCGTGCTAATAATTGGAAGAAGATCACAGTCTAGTGACAATGGAGCAATTTCTTCTTGATGATGGTGCATTCACATGAAACAGCAGTGATACGTAGCATCTAAAGTTCTGTACTGAGACTATCTGGATGTTACACCCTGCACAGATGTATTCCCAGGCATGTGCTCATGTATTTCCTCATCATGTGCATCATATTTCTCTTTGGCTGGACCTAAAGCGAAAGACTGTGAACCGAAACCCCACTCTGCGGGCCCTGGAAAATCCTGCTCACTGTCATCTTGCAGTCACATCCTTGTCCTCGTGTGAAGCCCAGCCATGGGAGCCCACAGTAAAATGTCCCCTAGTATTAGAAGGTGGACCTGTCAGCCACTCAAAATTTACTTCAGTCCCTGTTCTCCCTGCAGTGTCTAGAGAACGGAAGCCGAAAGTGTAATTTGGATACAAAGTTGTCAGTAACAAAACCTTGCTTTGGAATGGCTTTGGTTCTATTTGTTACAGATAGAAGCCTCTCTTGCATCAGGAGCCAACAGAACTGGCCTGAAGCAGCCTAATCCTGAAGTTTTGGGCTTCATCTGAATCCAGTGCACATCCCTAGTGGTTTGGAGGGGTTTCAGGAGGGTGGCACATACCCAGGGCTGGGGCAAAGGGAGGACTTGCCTTTCATTCCAGCTTTGCTTTTGATCCAAGTTGGAAAAGAAGTTTGGGAGATATAATGCTTGTGTTATATTAAGACTAGCATTACAAACTTGGCTAGGTTGGGCTTGTCACTTTCTAAGACATTTTTATATGAGAGCCTGAAACACCTCCAAGCTTCTTACCCAAGCTGAAGAATAAAAAGCAAGAATTTGTAATATGAAAGATTCTGACCTGTGTCAGTCTTCATGATCATACAATAAACCCAGCTGCAGAAAAAGCTGCTTTAAGGATCATTTTAGGAAAACAGTCTTATTTATCCCCATCACCTCTATGGGCAAGGATTGCTTAAGAAGTAGCTCTTATTTATTAATTAACAAAGGATACTTCCTTCTTTGCTCTTCTCTTGGACACTCTCCATCCCTGGCAGAGCTGAGGCGACACGTCGGAAAAGCTAGAGCAAAGTGTGGGGTGTAGGACAACAAAGGCAGACAGAAGGATGGATCAAGGTGCAAGAGAACAAATCATTGTTCTATAATAACGACTTTATAGTTTACATCCAAAATGCAACTGAAAGCATCAAAAGTGCAGAGAATGTGACATTAATTAGGCAAGTGCTTCCACTTGATACTTCAGACAATGAGAACAAGAAGGAGAGCTATTCATAAGAGCATCAACAGAAAAAATGTTACCTTGCACCTGCAGAAACAACAATGGCTGTGGTGAATAAATATAATTTCCAGGCAGGTAAAATAGCACAGCTTGAGAGATAACTAACAGCAACTCAGACTCCTGGAGAAAACTAACAGATGTGAACTCTGCATAAAAACATGCAGGTGATGTCAAAGCTGGGAATGCTGAATTGGATCCAGATTTAGTCATACTTAAGCAGAACCCCTGAAATCAGTGAAATCAGTTTCAGTGGCTGACTCGATGCAAGACGAAGTCCGGATCCAGCCTGCTCTCTCTCCTTACTGTACTAATGGGCTCTGCTGTCACTTAGGGCTTCTGGGCACATAACATTTCCCTGTGAAACCTAATTTGTTTGGTATTCATGAGTCGCGTGTGGGAAAAAATGCACATCTCGTGTCATCTACATGGGGGGGAAAGTAGTGCCAGTTGGCCTGCAGGGAGAGCTGTAGCCCACACATTTGATCGGCTGTCTGCCTAGGTTCCTGAAGCGTGGTGCACTGTGTGTTGTCTGTGACACCTCTGCAGATGCCCACCAGCCTCCCTGATCTCCTTATTTTTATTCCTTAATTACACCATTTTTTCCAGTTGGGAGCTTAGCATGTGGCAAAGCAAAGTGCTGCTCTCCTGCACCATCTTTACTAGAGTTCAAATAGTGGTTTTGTGTTTCGGAGTTTAGAACCCCACCTGCCTTGTAAGGTGGGACTTCTCTACTCAAGGCGTTTAACCTTCTACTTTCTGAAGCTTCTGCATCCAGATTCTTTTCAGGATTAATACTGGCTCCTTTACATGTGTTTTTTTTCTTCCCCATCCCAGGAGGGTTTCTTGCTCTGCCTTTCTACATTTTCCATTAAGCAGCCAATCTGAGGGTCTCACTGCTTCCATTATCAGATAATATGACATATTCCTCATTCTCACCAAAATAGAAAATAAAATAAAATACAGTAAAATCAAGTAAAGTAAAATAAAATAAAATAAAATGCTTCAGAAATGGAAAAGGCCTTGGAGGGTGATGATGTTGTGAAAAGCATCCAAACATGACTGTGAGGACTCAGGAGTGTACAATATATGATTCATGTCGGGAAGCCCTTTGCTTCTTGAGCAAGCTATTTTTCTAATAGTGGCACCTATCTGCCTTCTGGGAAATGAACGTTTTGTGACTCAAAATGGTAGTCAACTTATGGATGGGCAAACCCCCTATGTGGGAATGCCCATGACACTCTCAAAGTTTCAGATGTGAAGACTAAGCCAAAAAGGTTGGGGAAACCTGATCTTGGGCAGTAACAGTCACCCAGGAACAAATATACCTTACCTGTTTTACATTGTATCCTGTTTTTGCACTTGTCTCAATAAACATGACATTCAGTTCCTTAGCTCTCTGTTCCCCTTCTTCAATTGTTATCTGCCTGGGATCAGATGTACAAAAGAAGGTGAAATCATAACAATGGTCTCAGTGCAACTGGGAAAGATTGGGGAAATGGGTTTTGTTGGACCATATGGGAACAGGAGGGAAGCTAAGGTGCAGGAAGAAAAACTGTAATAATGCCATCAAGCTGAGCCTTGTTTCATAGCGATGTACAAGGGATTCAGCAATAGTCCATCAAATGGGAGTTGTTGCTCTAGGAAATCTGTTCCTAAAGCAACAAGAGACATCAGAGTTCCTCTACTGTATGTTGCTCTTTGCTTTTTTTTTTTTTTTAAACTGTCTTGTACATGCATTTTAGCGGTCCTCTTCTCCAGCATTAATGATCAGTTCCCCACTCCCTGCCATTGCCCTGGTCATCGTGTACATTTACCTCTTATCTGCAAGGTCTGTTTTGTTGCCCACTAACATGATGATGACATCACTTCCTCTTTCTGTCCTGACATCATCAATCCATTTAGAAGTCTGCTGGAAAGAGTTGAGATCTGTGAGGGCAAAGAAAAACAAGGAAGGTGGGTAGGAAACAAAGGCTGATTTTCCAGTGGCCTCTTAGATGATGGATTCTTTTGAAAGTTTTAAAGGAACAAGAACATTGTATTTGTCAGTGTTCTCTCTCTCTCTCTCTCTCTCTCTCTCTCTCTCTCTCTCTCTCTATATATATATATATATATATATATATATGGAGAATATATATATTTTCAGCCTCTCTACTTGCTAGGGCCCCAATAACTATCAGCTTCTCCCCTGAATGGCTGATATATGCATTTTTAAATATGCACTTTAACTGCAATAGCCACACATTTTAATGTCAGGCCTAATTTTCCATCAGATATTACTATGGAAGAAAACATTTTTGGTTTTAATGTATTATTCTAATTGGGTCTATAAGCAGAGATTGCTACTTCCTCATAACTTCATCTCCTAAGAACAGTATTTGTTCAAGTATGCCTTCTGGTCATGGATGGTTTCCTGAATATTCAGCTACAGAAGCTTCAGTGAATATTTTGCTCAGATCAATGCACAGCATGACCAGCAGTGTGGGCCTGGGCTTCATTCAGCGTGCTACCTTTGCCTGGACCAGCTTACATATTGACAGCAGATTCTAGACAGGACTGAGCGCAACCATAGCAAGCCTCAGCTATCCATCCATTAAGAAGAAGCAGTTTTAATTATCCACTCTGGGCCACCAGAGGGAGGCAGATCCTCCCTTTCTGTTGCTTTTCATTTCCTCTTACATTAATTGAGCAAGAGACACAGCCATGTTAGAGCAAACCCTGAGAGGTGGCTACAGAAAAGGTCAGAGGTGTGTCAGAGCTGGACTACAAGGCTGGCAAGAATTGAAATATTTTATTCAGAAGCAGCTTCAGGATGGAAACTACAAGATGCCTCAGCAGTGAGAATGTGGCAACTGGATGAGGGCTGAATGGAGTGAGCTTGTGGTGCAAAGGGAACAGAGGAACTCCAAAAATCAGGCAAATGCCCTTCCATGAACAGAGCCCTTCTGTCCTGGATTCAACCCAGTGGATCCAATTTACACTGGATCAACTGTGCTAATAGAAGTGGACTTTCTCATCTCCTTCTTCTCACAACAGCCCCTCCAGCCTCCTGAAAATTACACTTAAGGAGACTGTAAGCTATGGTGTGTGAGAAAGGAGGTTCACTCAAAATGGAGTGGCGGGATCATCATAAGCAGAAGTTCCCTTCCTCTTGAAGATGGCAGATCTTGGATCTGACCCAATGGGTTCTTATTGTGCTTTCTTTCTAAGATGATTATACAGCAGATTCATAGAACAGCAAGGGGCCAGTAAGGCACTTGGGTTCAACCCCCTGCTCAATGCAGGACTTCTTCCAAAAGATCCCAAGTGGAACAGACAACATTCTACTGCAGAGCACATGCACCCACACTACAAGTTGTACAACTGGCTCCACTCTGTAAATGCCTGGGAAGTTGCCATGTATCAGCCAAGGCCCAAATGTGACCCATACATTAGACAAGAACCTCAGTAGAACTTCCCAAAACAGAGTATCCTTCAGTCAATGTAACCAAACCCAGATTCCACAGGTATCCAATTACACCTCCAGACAAGAAAATTTGGAAACCAAATGACATTTCCTTTTCTGACACAAAATATTATTTATCTGAATGCTGTATCCCTAGTATGGGAAACAGGATTTTTTAGTAAAAATACATTAATATTGAGTTCGCTCAGGATATGCCAGCCAGCATATTATAGCTCTTAGGAGTGTCAGATGAGGACTAGGATGGCTTGGGTTCAAATTCCTACTTGGTCATGGTGCTCCATTGGCTGACATGCACCAGTCAGTATCCCTCAGTCCATACTACCTTACAAGGCACTATGAGGATACAATGCAGGGAATCCATGTATATTGAGGGCACACAAGCTTTTTGAGCTGTGACAATGTGGGAAACTGCCTTGGGTGCTACCACAAAATGGCTCCAATAAGAAGATGTAGCAACGGACAAATAACTGGCCCAAAGTATAAGGCAGAGGTAAGGTTTGATACTCAACAAAATTAGCAACTTCTTCAACCCCACATTTCACGGCAATCTCAGCTGCTAATAAGAAAATGTGTCCAACAATTGCTTTAAGGGGGAAGGGAAGGGCACCTTTCTGGTTGTCAGAAAAAGGTGCCCAGGGGGACACTGGTGTCCAGGGATATTGTACTGCCTCCCCCTGAACCATATAGCACTTTGAGTCCCTTATGTAAAGGTTAGGGTATAAATGTATACCCTAAATACAATAAATTCAAATAAAAGTGCAGGAAAACTATCACAAAGTGCAACTATGAGAGAATGTTCTGTTCATAGGGGTCAATGGCCTTGCTGGGAAAGAAAAAGGTGGCAGAGACAGAGATATTGTGTACGTACAAACAAACAATCCAACAGTGCAACTGAAGCCACAATGGTGCAAAAATGTTTAACTCTGCTATTTGTGCAAACACCATGCACAAAAACATCTATGGTACACATTTTTATATAATAATACAAATGACATGCATTATGAACTTCATTGTATTGCCTGCTTAATAATGCTGTCTATTCATGAAATTATTGGTTTTGCAATATGGCTTGTTACAGCCTTTCCCAACCCAATGTCCTCCAGATGCGAAGATTTATAACACTCATCATCTCCTACCTGCCATAGTTCATGCTGGTTACTGTGGTCCAACATGTTTGAAGGACACCAGATTGGAATAGGCTAAATTATTAAATATGTAAGGGTCAGCAGTGTCTCTCAAAAAGACAATGGAACCATTATCTCAACTTCATGCCCAGCTCACAGAAGCATCCGGCAAGCCTCCATCGCAAGCAATATTAGGACTGGATGGACTTCATTCTGCAACTCAATGAGTGAGTTCCTCAGGCAGGCTTGGCAAATGGTTTTTGACAGGGGGCCTTAATTCCTATTTGGGAAGGGTTCTGGGGACTTCATTCCAGTAATGGGGAGGGATAAGGGCATAGGGTCAAGGACTTAGTGGGTGGGTCAGATGTATTTCATACCGATGTGGACATTTTCCCACAAAGCATGCAGTTCAAATCTACTCATATCTACTCAGGAGTAAGTCCCAGTGTAACAGTTCAGGCATGCAAAGGACAGCTCAGTGCTACCATGTAAAATGTATTTACAGTTTAAATACCCAGTAAAGTATTTGCAATTTTAAGTCATTTAAATTGCTATTATTGCCAGTCATTAGTAGGGTTTCCCTGCACTGGACAAAGGCTGCCTTTCTTGGATGATTCCAGTTCTTATTTCCAATCAGCCTCTTAACATACGGTTGAGTGGGATGCTAGAAAGAACAAGTATTTTACTAGGCCATTGCTTGCATGAGTGAATAACATGTCTTAAGCGCTGCACCAGCTCCTGCCTGACAAAAACTGTTGACACAGCACAGAAAGGGAATACGGAGCGCCACTCCCTTTGGAGGAAGCCTTCAAATATTTCCAGTATGTGGCATCTGCCATACCCATTGGTTACGTCTTACACTGATCATGTTGGTCTGCTTGCTATGTAGCAGATATTCCTAATGGATGATACCAAACTGCAAAATGTTCCCATGTAGACAACCACATCCAAACTTAACTCACTTGTGATGTCATAGACCACCACTGCTACTGTGGAGTCTCGAATATAACTGGGGATCAAACTTCGGAATCTCTCCTGGCCTGCTGTGTCCCAGAGTTGCAGCCGCACCTGACCAAGCCGGGGGAGAAGCACAACAGAGGAAACACAAAAGAGAGGAGAGACAGAAACACAATTAGAGGAAGAGAAACTGCCAACATAGACAAAGGAACAAAAGAAAGAAAAAAGGGGGAAAAGAAGAGGCCGTTTGTTATCTGCTGTGCCCCCTGAGAGGTTTTTTTTTTTAACTGATAAGTCTTCATTTCTTATCCTAAGATGTTTGGTTACTCAAGACACAGGGAGGTGTTCTTCTGCTGTTGATACTGGTGTGATGCACACAGCTGCCCCTCTCAGAAGTTCCATGTTGGCATAACAAATGCACTCCAGGAGAACAGCTCAATGTGCAAAGAGCTCCTGTTCCACATATGCATTCATTATACCTACCTTGAACCCCTGGAAAAAGGTTCTTTTTTAAAGCTTTGCTTGGGAGTTTTGTGAACAAAAAGTCTGGTATAGAAGCAAGAAGTAAAGGACAGAAGAGAAGGGGCAATGATAAAGTTTACATCAAGTCATCAAGGAGAAGACACACTAGTATCCACTAGAGGACACAACCTGAATTTGCTAAGAGGGAAAATATGACTAGAGGTAAAGTGGCAATCCACTAAATTATTTCAGTCATTGGGCTACACTAAAGAATTGGAGATTTGAAGCGTGCACACTAACTCTCCTTCTATTCTCCCAGGTCTATGGGGGCCAGAGCCGAGTGCTCTGCGTGAGCCTTTCATAAACTTTCTCTGGAGGCTGCCAACGGTTTCAGCTTATGTCATATGCACGGGGAGGGGGTGAGCTGAATGCTTTGGAATCAAAAGGGAAACTCAACATTCAAGTACAGGCTGGAAGACATCCATCATCACCTTGGAATGGAGCATGCAGGGAATGGATTTAAGGCCACATTTGCTTTAATGCACACCTGCAAGTCCAATTCTCATTTACCTATGAGATTTGCAATGTGGTCTATACCCACCTTGCACTATGAACAGGATTGGATGATCAATACAGTGGGAGCAATCAAGCGTGGCGTCAGCACAGAGCACAATTTGGCACAAAGGTTTCAGAGGAAAAAAAGAAAAAAGGCATGCACTTCAGACTGAGTGGCTTTGTCAGAGGAATGCTTGATCAAAGCTGGTTTGGAAGCTGGTAATCTACTCTAGTACATCTGCCTTCATTGTTTCCCCTGAGCTCTGAATCAACAGAGAATTGTTTGTGATATCTTTTGGGGAAAGGAGGAGAGAAAGGAAGAGACCCAGTCATATTTCTGCCAGTGGATCAGAAACAACCTCTAGGGAAGCCTAGGGAAACCTGCTACTCCCCCCCCACCCCCCACCCCCAAATCCCCTGCATTACTCAGCCTGTGGCTTTCATTAGTGTGATTGCACAGCCTTGGAAACAACCCATTAGGCCTGAGATGGATGTTTGACTGTGCATTAACACTGCACGAGATACTTAGCTGCTACTTATTAATGCAGCAGCTGCTGCTTTCCTCTCATTAGAGCCAGCTTCCATCTGCGTTGACATTGGGCTATCCTTGCACAAAGTTCCCCCAAAATCTATAAATCAAGACCATTTTAGAGTGTCCCCCTCCCTCCAATGTCCTTTCCAAGAAGAGAGGAGATACAGAGAAAATGCAGGCGCTTAGGAAGGACTTCCCAGCAGAGCGGCTGATGGCCCATCCTTGAAGAGACTGCAGGTCATACATGTCCTGGATCACAGGACAGAAAATGATTGTACATTCTTGGCTTATAAGGAGAAGGCTGCAGTAGCACATCTCTGCCTGGGAACCTGGTGAGCAGATAATATGGCGCTCACTGGGTCAGTGCTCTAAGGACAAGGCAGCTTATGCTCTGAAACACAACAAACCTTGCCATGTGACACATTCCCTTCAGTTTCTAACCCACTGAAGACAATAAGGTTTCCAGTAAAGAGCTCAGCGGAACTAAATTCATGGCTCCAAAGAGGTGCCTTGCAAGTGGAACTCCTCCCAAATGCTCCCAACAGAGTGTTATTGTTCAGCACAATGAAAAGAAAGAGTAAAGCCTATTGGAGGACTGATCTTGAGCTCCTAGCACAGCCTGCTATTGGCAAGCTGGCTGTGAATGGTAGAAGTAGTCAGACACCATAGCTGGAAGGCACCAAGCTGGGGAAGGCTGTGCTAGGAATTTGCGTACTACAAAATCCCGGTGTTTTGAGTTGGGTGCCCATAAAGGTGATAACATTCCATTCCCATAAATATGCATTAATGAGGCTCTGCTACTTCTTTTGAATTGCATGTGCAAGTGGAATACACTCAATTTGTTTCTTCTGCACAATAATTAGGACTCCTGTTTCAAGTCAGACTGTCTTGGGGTTCAGAACCTTGAGGATCTTTAGAAGCTGATTGACATGACTCCAGTAATGTCAGGCACTCAGGGGCATCTCATTGGAGATCCATGCCTCAGGACAGCCCCCCACTGAACCCCCAGCCTGTCGATGGCAAATGCTCAGAAGTCCCTTGGAAGGGCACTCTTGCACAGAGAGTTCTCTGAAGACAGAGGTGTGGGAAACTGCTGGGGCAGGGAGGTGCGGATGCCTGGATCCTCTCTATGCAGGACTGGGATGGAATTCACGTCAGTCAAGGATGAGGACTGCGTGGCTTTCCAGATGCAGCCAGACTGCAACTCCCATCATCCCTCTCCACTGCCTGTGATGTCTAGGGCTGATAGGAGTGAGAGTCTATCAACATCTGCAGGCCTGTAGATGTTCCCCAATCCTGACATAGAGGAACCCTTGACTGCATGCTCTGAGTAAGTCACTCAGCAGCTATTGATATGAAAACTGTTCAAGTCTTTAAAATTCAGATTTAGTCAAAGCTCTTGGAAAAATTAATCTTGGGTTTTGGAGTAGTCCATAAGAGCATAATCTTATCTATTAATGAAAAATGATTGCTGGGGGAAGGAAGCTATTTGGTCCTTCCATTTCCCCCTGGCAAAGCTTGAGAGTAGGTCATCTATGGAATATGATGAAGGGCAAGATGAGACCAAGATGAAGGAGCAGAATTCTTTCCTTCCTTCAAACACTCCCACCCTTAAAAGATACATGGTATTTTGTAATAGGCAAACCAATGAGGAGTAACAGAAGAGTGCAGGCTGGTCTTCCCCAGCCTGGATGGCCTTTCTGGACAGGGAATGACGGGAATCATTGTCTACTATCTGGAGGGCACCAGGTTGGGAAAGATTGGCATGAGCAGATAATTCGCTTTGCTGTTTGGGTACTTAGTAATAGGACGTTAGCACAAGAATCCTCTTTGCATTTCCCCACTGCTTCTGATTATGTTGCTCAGGCAGGTCAGCTCTTCAGCAACTCCTGTCCACTTACTGTCCGGTCTTCCAAGTACATGGTTTTAGATAAGAAGTCAATTCCAATTGTAGCCTGTAAGAAAGGGGGAAAGCAGGATAATGGTCAGAAAGCATTTTTGAGCAGAAGTTATTTTAAGATTGTAAAGCATGACTGGGATCCAAAGAGATAATCTGAGTGTGCTCCACACCTCGGGGGACTTTTTCGGTCCCCCTTAAACAGCAGAACCACTTTCACGTCATATAATAATTTACTTTACGAGGTATCACCATTTCAAAAGAGTTTGCAGTGTTGCACAAGAAGCTGTCGATCCATGAAATGAAGGCTAAAAGCGCCTCTTCTGGTACCATCTCACACAGACACAGCAATGTTCCACCTGAAGCTCTCTGGCAGATGGTTGACAGCCCTCGCAGTTGTTCCTTCACATCCATTTCAGATTCATCAGTACAGCTGTGCAACCATTCATGACGAAGTAAGAGCAGATCATCCTTGCCCAACCTGGCACCCTCCTGATGTTTTGGACTACAATAAACATGGTAAGTGGCTGTGCTGGCTGGAGGTGCTGGGGCCTTTAGTCCAACACAGCTGGAGAAAGCTGGATTGGGTGAGACTGACCTATAGTATTTTGCTCTTATTCTCCTACCCTGCTCATAACAGTATTAATATTAGAAGGTTCTCTTTTCCACACAGTCTTTCAAGAATTGATGAAAATCCTGATAGACTCTCCCACCACAGATGCTTTTGGCCTTTTCCCTGGGGTTCACCAGAACTACAGCCCTAGAAGCCTGGAAGGTCATCCAGGAAGCCACATGCTGGCTAAAGACAACATTGTAAGGAGTGAACTCATCATCACTTCACTGTGAGTCATAAGAAACATAGCAATAGCTGCCATGATTTAAGCTGATGGTGGCACTGATACACTTCGGGATACCTTGCTCTTAAGTGTATTCAGCCTGGGAATTTGGGTAAAAATAAAGGAATAAATTGACAGGGTGTGAATATACATAGCTTCTGAATGCTAAGGTCCCTTTCAACTGCCCAGGATTATGTTGGTTTCTAATCAAGGATGCAAATTTCATCAGGGAGTATGCCCAGATGAGTTCTCAGGCTGCATGGCTGCTGAACTGACCAATGTAATTAAAAGGAGCAGTCTCCAAAGCTCAGGCATTGAAACCCACTCAGCTTTGGGAGTTTGGATTTCTAGTCACATCTGCTTCTGAGTTCAGTGGATTAATCAAACAGTATGTGCTGCAGTCTGCTAGGGGCATCCTCTCCAGAGGGAGCTAGCCAATATTTATGAAGCAGCACAGTAATGGCTCTGTATACTTAGCTCTGTGCAATGAATGGAGTTTCTCTAAGGAATTGGGAATGGGAAAATAAGGGAGCCTATCCATCTTCTAAGCATCAGAACCCACTAGGCTGTTATGTGGTCTGGATGGTCGGATATCTAGGATTGCCTTCTCGATTACACAGCAGTGTTAGAGCAGAAAATAAAAAGTAAACAGATGGAATCAAAACATCTGCACAGTGACATATAAAGCACTTGTGGCAACCTATTCAGTCCCCCTCATAGCTGTCAAAAACTAGTTTGACAGAACAGAGGAAAACAAAGATGAGATCCTAAACGCTAACAGGACGAAACAGCAGCTTAAAGTAGCCTCCCCCAGCCTGGTGGCTTTCAGGTGCTTGACTGCAACTTCCATCATCCCCAGTCAGTTAAACAGCAACACTCACAGGGGCTGATCAGAGCTGAAGCACATCTGGGAGATATTTAGTTGGGGAAGGATGATTTAAAGCAGGATTAAACTCATGTTTATTCAGATCTTCTCTGCTGGCTCCTGCAAATGTATCCTAGCAAACCAGGATCACAAGCTCTCTGTAAGTCTGTTGCATTTCAATGGGCTCAAAGTGTTTGCTTAGAAGGTCTACTTACACAGGCTTCCATGGCAACAGTTACTCTGGCCAGCATGAACACTGGGGGTAAGCAGCACATTCGCCTACCTAATATTCATGTTCATCTCATGTACATACTCTGCTCCCCAATGAGTGGAGGACAAATGCTCAAGAATGCTGCCTGATGATCGAGGCTTAAGTCTTTAGCACACACCAGCCATGTACAAATGGCAGTAAGGAAAAATAGGCATTGACGGAAACCTTTCCCTTGAACCTTAACACGGAGGGGCTGCACCTAGGTCCCTAAACCTTCTCAGGTAGCCAGCACCTGCCAGTTCTTCCTGCCCCAGGCTAGGCAAGGAAGCTAGAATAAAAGTATTTGTTGAATATGTCCTGCTGATTTTGGCTTCTTGGGGACCCCAGCTTTGGTTTTAATAAATCCCCTCTTTCCCTGGAATTGCTCTCAGAGTGTTCAGAAGATGGAGGAAAGATTCTTGTGGGAATGCAGAAAGGGCTGCAGTTCCAGAGTGCAAGAAAAGGCCTTTGGGATCCTTTTATCGATTTGCTTTGTAGCTGTCTGAAGGGGGATTGAATGGGATTTAAGACAGAAAAAGCAGTGGAGCCAGAAGCCAATTAAGTTCAGTATCCTGCACCACACAACTCCCATCAGAAAAGCAAATACGCTTTTTGAGTTTGAAGGTCCCTGAAGCTCAGAGGTAGCCGTAGCTTGAAAACGAATGCAGATACTTCAGCAAAAGGACTGGGGAAGGCCACTGGGAGACAGATAAAGAATGACAATAAATCATGCTTTTCCTGCACTATTCAAATGGGAGGTGAGGGCAGAGAAAGAGGCAGAAGAGGAGGAGGAAAGGAAAATAAGCCAGATAATATTTGTTAGCCATCACTTTTACATACAACAGAGGCAAAATAAATCCTTGGAGGATAAGCAAAAATATACATCCAAAGGCAAATCACAGTCAGAGAACTGAATTAGAGTTAGGAGGTGGCAGGTATGGGCAGCAGGTTAGTCTCCAGATGTTTTGGCCTACTACTCCCATCATCCTGCACTTCTGTAGGCAAGAACACCTGGTGGACCACATGTTGCCTGCTGCTGGAATGTAGGATTGCCATGAGAACTTGTGGTGAGGGAAGGGGTAAGCATAACTAGGAGGCAGGTTATAACTCCATAACTAGGAGGAAACAAAGGCAACCCACGGGTTGCCGGGGGTCGCTGCCATTGCCCCTGATCTCCAAGTTATGGTCCAACTTATCCAGTGTTTGAAAGCCAGACAGGTGTTGGAAGCGTATTGCTGCTTTCAAGCAGGTGAATTGAGGCAAGGGCCATACTAAATGTTTGAAAGATCACTCATACTGCAGCTGCGTGACAGTTTACTTTCATGTAAGCATGGAGGGGCCCAATTTGGACTGGGGGCTCTGGGACTCCAGGAGGCTACCCTCTTCATCCATTTGCTTACAACCCCAAAATTCCACCCTAGGTTGAAAAAAGCCTTGAACGGTGAAATTTTGAGTACAAGATTGGTGCAAGTCTAAACCGTTCCCTTCCTAGATCACCATGGTCCAGATTGGAAGCCTGGCTACACAAAATTATACAAAGGAAAATAGAGCTACCATACATGATGTGATACATGCTCCACTATGCATGATTAGCTGGACACTCAGTTAGGCCTTTGGGGCTAAGGTGATTCATTCTGGGATAATGGTAGTTAAAGTACAAGATGACGACTTTACAGGGAACTTCTCTGCATGAGCATTTATTATGTGCTTATGCTGCCTCGTTTATGGAAGTTTGCAGATCCTTTTCATAACGCCCTCATCCTCCAGGGCTTCTCCATTGTTTTCCGGCCATTTTTGCAACTTTTTTAGAGCCCTGCAGTATGATCTCCTATCATACTAAGTAGCCCTAAAAAAGGCTGTGTATTTTTTGCAGTTGTGCTTACTGTAGTATCACTTGTGTTTGCTTTACAAAGGCAGAGAAATTAAATCCTTGGTTGAGGGTGGGGGGGGGTGCACATGGAAAGGATGTGGTCTTCCTCCTGCAACGAAGGCTGCAGAATAAATCCCTCATATGCCAGGGATAGACCAGAGATGCCCAGGGTTGTTGTGACTGTAACAATGAGGCAGAATTTTTAACACACACTTTTGGGATGAGATATTTCACTGACTACACTTGCCACCAAGGACCATTTCTACCAAAGGAGAAATGACATACTAGAAATGTTGTCCACTACATCTTACTGAAGACCCAAAATTTGGAAACAGGGGAGGGAAACATACACTTGGGAAAGGGAAATGAAGAATTCATGAGCAGCTGAAAAAAGCTGAATGGCTGTGTGATTAAATTTTAGACTGAGTGGGTTAGCAAGGATGAAGCTGAGGGATGAACAACATCCCTAGAACTATGCCCAGCTCCCCAAAGCTTATGTAATTAATGGCACTATGGAATCCTGAACTTTCATTTCCCACCAATCCCTGCTGTGACCTCTGCCTTCTCTCTAGCAGGGTTGCCTCCCACAGAGAAAGGAGAGAGTGAGGGTACTTCCAGACAGTTGGCTCCTGGAACTGCCAGTCAAGAGATACTGTGCAGCTATTCCATCTTTTCCTCTTTAATGACAACCACCTTAGGCGGAAGACGCTAGAGGGCAGCAGCAGGCTCTTGAATCTGCAGGCATTTGCCTCTGTGGGCAAGTCAAGTGAAATGAAGCATTGAAGTGAAACTCAGCTGCCAGTCCAATTGGCTTCTGTATGATCTGCCTGCATGTAGAGGGGAGGCCATATTGTCCTTTGCCTCAGGCACCAGCCAGCTTGGGCTGGCTGCAAACCTCTTTGTTTGCCTGCCCCATGAAAACACCCATTATCAGTAACAAATAACAGGGGAGTTTCAGCACTTCATGGGTGGGAGTCAGTGCTAAAATCCTCCCATGAAGATTAGGATGAAGGTTGCTAATAATGAAGTACCTTGTACCTTCATTACAAATTGCCTCCAATTTATATATTATTTATTTATTAGTTCACTTATACTTACCTTTCTTCCTCTTACAAGGACCCCAAATAGTGCATGGTTCTCCTCCTCTCTGCTTATCCTCACAACAACTCTGTGAGGTAGGTTAGGCTAAGAGTCAGTGATCAGCCCAAAGCAACACCGTGAGCTGCATGGACAAGCG